CCACGTGCTCTAACTAATCTACTCGGACGGACGAAAGGCGACTGTCCCGTTTGTGGTTCGAATGCATGATCTTTGGACCTGAGTCTGTAGCATTAGGCACGGACTGAATATATCTGACCTAACAACTCATTTGAAATTGCTTCATATTCTGACCGTTATTCAAATCGTCTTCGTTATCCATGAGCCATGAACAAAAGTCGATGCTCTTCCATTTTTCTCTATTCTATGTTTTTTGCTTCTACCGCTGACAAAGTTTTTTCACCATTGAATCGTCTCAACGTGTTCTTGGACGGTGGAGTAGACGTTTGTGGTCAAGCGGAACCCATCTTGTAATTCTTGACATTCACAGGCGAGCCACATGACCGGTTTGTCTTCTCATAGCATCATACATGGCAGAAGCCCAGAAGTCCGTTGATCTTGTCCGTTGCCGAAATTCATATTCTATATACTGGTATGAAACCGAAATTAATAACTAAGCATCAGTGCATCGGTATAATGCCGCCCTCGCAGCTGATCGATTTCGATCGCAACTATCCCTCAATTCTAACGTGTGGCTGTGAGGTGAAAGCAGACGTTTTCAGCGAACCTCACATGACGAAAATCAGGTTTATGGCAAAGCGCGTAAGTGTCGCTGTGAACCACATTGCGCTCCTTCGACAGGTAGCCATTCGAATCATTTGACTCTTATAAGCGGCGGCTGAGAACCGTCATTGGCCAATGAAACGGGAAGGAACAAAAGAAACTTTCTGCCCGTTGGAATAATTTACTTCCTCACATTTTTATGATGGAGGCATTTCCGGTGCCCTTCTGTTGAAGAAGCTGTTGATGATGTGGCGGTGATCTTTATTTCAATGTCAACTGAAATGCCTTATTTTACGGGCAGACTCGACAGCAGCCATGTAGCAAATATAGTGTGTCATCTCTTGTTTGTTTCGCACGGAGTGGTATTCATTTATCAACCTCGGGACTCGAACCAAACTCACAAGCCAGTGGTGGCCATGGGACCGCGGCAAAAGCTTAAATGCTCAAAATGAGGCCAGAGCACAGTCAATAGCTTATTTACATGTTAATATAAAACTTGTTGCGCCACCATTCCTGGCAATTTTTTGTGACATTCTTTTCAGAGATCGGCAACCGATCCGTTCACAAAACGCGTAATTTGCAGGCATGCTCACAAAAACTTTTCAGAAGTATTTAAAGCACCACTTTACTTCTCTGTCATGCCTAATAACAAAGCGTTTTCCGTACGAAGCGTCCTACTGATTTTCCCAGGGCTATTGCGGCATCATCATTATGTCATTCTGAAACGACCAATGGCACAACAAACTACGCATCTAGTTATTACTGGAAAGCTTTTAAGTGCCTAGTTTTAAATTTGCCATTTGTTCGCTTTTTTTATTAAAGGTTGTTATGCGTTGTGAAATATAACATTCGCATATTGAGTAATTCGTTCTCGCGTTGATGCTCATACTGAAAACTAAAAAATATATGAAAATGGTTTATTTATTAACAATGCAACGGATAAGTCAATCAATCAGATGATTGATCAGTACCAAGGTTTTGACTGATCTTTCACGAGACTTCCTCAGGGTGGTCCAGGTAGGTTTCTGCAATTGGCTATATGGTCCGCAACTGTTGTCACGTTTAGAGGCGAAGATGTGCTTTATCCCATGCTTACGGGCAAGTAGTTTCTAGGTCACAGACTTGATAGTATCTGTCCAATCCGAGAAGAGTTCGCATCCTTTGTCCAATCCTGTATTAATGCCAACCGGAACAAAGGATGAGAGCTCTGTGCCGATTGGGCAGACTTTATCAAGCCCCGTGACCGAAAAACTTAACCGGCAGCGCGGGCCAAAAGCACACCGTTGGTTCCAGACGCCATAGAAGCTGCAGTCGACACAACCAACTATACAAGTCAACCCAGACCACCATGAAGAAGATTCGTAACAGACGAGCCGAAATGTTGGTACTGGTCAATCACAAGACTGACTAACTTATTTGCTTCCGTTGTGCATAAATAAATCGCTGTGGTACATTTTCAATATTCGCATATTATTCTATTCTAAAGTCTGAAAATCATGCTTAATTATTTCACTGTTAGAATTTCAGTATTAATTAATGATGGGATCGATTGTGTCAGGAGCGGTTGAGTAGCGCCCGGTGATTATCAGGTGACAATGAGACTGTCCCTCACAGAGTTAACAACGTGAAACTCCAAGCTTTACGCCACCTCATTACGCTGGGTTACTCAAGTCCTAATATCTAATCGTTCCGACAACGCACGGGGTGCTATTTTGTTTCCATTTCGAAACATCCATGAGGTTTAATCAAGTTTTAGAAGGCCATCGCTCAAGATTCTTCACGGCCGGTTCAAAAGTTGGACAGCAAGGCGAGAATCGGTTTTCACCGTGCTGTATTTATAATTATTTATTAATAAAATACAGATGGTCCCCTTTCTCTACACGGT